TGCTCAAAGCCATTTTTTAACCATTGATCTTGGCAAGCATTTGTATACAGCTGACAGTTTAGATATTTTTGAATGGGTTTCATCCATATGAAAGTCTTAACCTAACTATACTATTTGAGAGCATAGTTTTTCAGGTTAATGTTTTGGTTTTGTCGCACTTTGCAGTGTTGGATGAGACTACCTCTAGCACGGCTTAGTCTATTGTTCAATTTCCTTATCTTCTATACAGAGGATGCTGATAGGTGTCCCTTCTGCATGACTGATGCATGAAAATTTTAAATGATGCAGTAATTGACCAATCTGCACATCCTACGGGATGCATCTAAAGTTTCCCATGAAATGCAATACATTGCAAATATTCTTTCAAATACTTTTTACTAGTTCTTCCTTTATTTCACTGTTTCCTTCTTTCATTGGCTGGTGGGATGTGTGAGTGGCATGAAATACACATCAATGTCGCCTTACCAGAAACATTCTTGATTGTTTTTTGTCTTTTTTTAAATTTATTTATTTGAAGCTCCTGAACTCATTAAAGGTTATGTTAACAAATAAATATTTTCATAATCATGGGCTTTTTCATTTTTAATATAGGCCTTGAAATCAAACATTATTTTGCACCAACCTGATAATTCCCCCAAAAATATACTTTGTTAATTGAACCTCAATTAAGTGTAAATACAATTTTTGTTTTGAATTTATTAATTAAAAAAAATAAGTTGTTCTGTTAGCTTAAGTGATTTGGAATGATTAAAATTGGTTTCTGGAACAATAGTGTTAAAAAAAATGTCTGTAACCCTGCAGTTTAACATGAAAAATTTATTAAGAAACATTAGTTAGGACCCATTGAATTTCCCAGAAACACAACTAAATCACCACCTGGGACTGACTACATATTAAATACCTATCAACATCACTGCCTATACTAAATTTGCTGTAACTGATCCAGACACTGAAGTATTTGGTGTTTACTAATTCTACATCCTGAATTTTTATGATGGGTTCAGGGTAGATGTCATCACTGCTTTCATTTCAGATCATTTTTTCCGTTTCGGAAATGTATATTCTTAGTCCTCCTATTTCTTGGAATATTTGATAGAGAATGTTGAATTGTTTTTCAAGTTCCAGATTCAGTTATGGTTGGAATTTTGCTAAATGGAAAACCATTATGATTAAACTTCCTTGTCAGAATTAATACAATTAGGTGTTGGGTGGCATCTGGATGAGTCAGTTATGTCTCTGTTACCAGAACATTAATGAACCAGAGTTTTGTGTAAATTTTAACAGGTGAAAAATTTGAACAATAACATAGAAACGGTAGGAACCCTAGAAGCAACTGAATAAGATTTGGGAGCATCTTATGTATTATGCAGAACAAATGTGGTTGCTACCATAGTCAAAGAAGAAATCTGAACTCCTCCAAAGGCTTGAATCTGCTGATTGACATCATGCAATGGAACACAACAATGATGCACATTGTAATTAATTATAGAAAATTGAATGAATAGGTTGACACATTTATGACCAATACAGATATGTGTGTGAACAAATCGAGAGAATGGCAGAAATATGCCCATCATTAACTCCAAGGAAGTATACTTGCAAGTGCATGTTCAAGTGTCATTGATGGCAATTTCAGACAATTATGTTTGAAGAGGAAAAGGTATAGCCTTACAAAATCAGGATTTGATTTTAATGTTGCACTAGTTGTTACAAGATGAATTGACTCAAAACAGGCAACATCAGTATATATTGATAATATATCCTAAGTGTTGCAGGTGTGAAGAAGCATTTGTTGAATTTTGGTCTAATCAGTAAAGACCTACAGTGATTGAAGATAGTGCTCAAGTGCTGAGTTTGGTAGTTTGGAAAGAAAAGAAAATGACAAATGATAGTAATGGAAATTCTGAATGTGTTTTGTTTCCATTACTTTAAAAACTCTTTCCAGTGTTTGGGTGGCTCCACATAGCAAAAGAAATCCTGAAAGATCCCAGCATTTTGCAAAATTTGCAGTAAGTAAATGATAATCCTCTCAAAAAGTATAACTGTGGAGACCATAAGAGTGCAATGAAATGATACTGCTCAAGAAGACTGGTGTGTAAATGGAAAAGAAATAAAACATGTTGGTCAATGCAAGCTCCTTGGCAACGGGAGTCTAATGAGAAGAAATCATGTTTTGAGACTGATAATGTATTCTAGTTGTGTCCAATGAACAGCATATTAACATGCTGGAACTTGTCGTAACGCTGAAAGGAATTAACCTTGTTCTTCAATGCCAAACAGAGGTGTTGCCTCTGAGGACCACTTACTCCTCAGTATATCACTGAACCTCTATTACCCCAACTGGTGAGTTGAACACTAAGCCTGCAGAGGAAATGCTAATGACTAATAAAAGAGTATGATCTTTCTATTGACATCTGACTAGTGAAATCTGAGCAGAACCTAGCCAACAAACTAACAGAGATAATTCAGTGCAGTGAATAAAGAATCTGAACCTGTTGCATTCCTGTACGCTGATGCTTCAGAAGAGTCAAGCTCCTGTCAAATAATGAAAATCTATCAGTCAAGCAGACATCCTGGGGAATATTATATTTCAATATGCAAGTTCATCTTTCCGTATTAAGTGTTGATATATCTAAACTGTGATCAAGAAATGGAAGTTTTGTCATTTTATAGATGTGGCATCAGCACATTGACAAAAAAGAAACTTATAGGTTGGTTGATTTGTTGTAATGGCATATCAACTCCTTATGGGTCATTTAATGCTGAAATTTAATTTTCTTGGGAGCACTGAAGTAATAAAAATATGTTATTCACATGGCAGACACATGTTTGTTTGGGCATGATTACTAGGGCAGTTATATGTGTGTTTTATGTTGTAGTTTTGTTGAAGTTATATTTTGGAATAAAGTTTGATTTCTTTAAGAAATTGTCAGATATTTGGATTAATGTCATGAAAGAGTTTTTCATATTGGTTGTTTGATTTTTGTTTAGCAGCATATTCCTTGGGTTTTTTCATGCTGAAATCTAAATATTTTACACAATTTTATGGCTTCAACTAGAGATAAAATGTATTGTTGGTCTTTTTTTTTATACATATAAAAGTGTATTGTTGGTATTTTTACTATTTTATACTTTCATAGTGTTGTGTTTTTGTTTTGGGGTTCACTATTTGCCCACAGCTGGGAACCTAATAAGTACTACCACCCTCAAACTTAGAGTGACACCCAATACAGGCTGTGAATAGACATCACACCTGATGGCATTAGTTGACTGCAGACCTGCATATTTCTCAATCTGGTGACCTTTATTCTGGCATGATTTCTGCAAATGTCATGTACCAACTGAAATCTACTTTTTGGTTTTTGTTTTGTTATTTTTAAAAGTTCGAATGTCAATTTCCTCACAGATAACGGTATGGTGTTCTGTAGCCAGATGTGAAAAGAATTTATCAATGAGTCAGACATTTTGAAACTATATCAGAAAAAAATGGAATAGTCAAAAGTTGTCAGTGTTGAATAGCTATAAAAAAGCCGTGTTCTATACCCGAGGTGTTGTACTGGTACAAATTTAACACCTAAGGATAATGTTCCACTCTCAATTGCAACTGTCAACAAGTGGTGAGACTTGATGTGCATGAAGTGGGAGTAAAATGCTTCAAAATTCGTAGCTTGAATTGGGCATAGTTACAGGAATTATCAACTTGAAATTTATGGAATCCGTAGTCAAATATGTTAAAGGGCATTAACAATGTATTCTCCTTAAGTGGGGAGTTTTACCTCCTGTTTGGCCTGAGACTTTGCAGAATTCCTGTGATGTGGTTAATGATGAGTGTGGTCATGATGGCGATAAAAGAAACATTCCGCTGAGGTTGCACACACGATTGAAATATGGTGTCTCTCACTGTAGATATGAAGAACAAAAAATACGCAAATTTGGTGGTGATTCCAGTGATTGTGTTGAAGTTGATAGGATAAACATCTTTTTTTTTTTCTTTTTTTTTTTTTTAAGAAACGATGAATGTTGATATTTGAATTTCCTGGTTCAACTCCAAGAAACAAAAGGAAAGAAACGATGAATGTTGATTCCTGATATTGGAATTTCTTTGATCATCTTTTTTTTTCTATAAGGAAAATAAAATAAGCGACGAATGTTGATAGTTGATATCTGAATTTCCTGGTTCACCCTTCTATTTTTGCATATAACTTTTAGTTTTAGCAAAAATAGAAATTCATCCTTGACAAAATAACATTAAAAATAAAAAAAAAAAAAAAAAAAAAAATCACCGTCAAACACGATTCTGAATTAAAAAAAATTCCCCAGACTGATCGTCACCCGAATTCATTTTTCTGTGCCAACCCCCATTTTTATTCAAGCCAAAAAGAACTGAGAACGACATAATTTTCAGCGTTTTACTTAGTCAGTCATTCAAATAATTATATTTTCTTTTTATGCATCTAAAATTATTCACTCCACAAAGCAATCTTTCTAGTTGATAAAAAAAGTATCAAGCACTCATTTTTTAAAAATTACGTTGATTTATTTTATTAAATAAAATGAGTTACTGTCTATATTAGAGTTCACCACATTATTAAAAAAAAACAAAAAAAAAAACAGGTCAAGTTTAAATGGAGAAACTGAATAGTCGATGAAAATATGGAAAATGCAATAAATTTAATTTTATACAGATTTTTATACATTATTAAAACAACTCCAAATGTTTTAGAAAAAAAACATAATTCTGGAAACGAGATTCATTAATAATACGATATTTGAAAGTATTTAAGAAAAACAAGTTGTAGCTGGCTGTGTAGTGTAGTTATATCAGCACCAGTCAGGAGCGTTTTAAAAATAAACAGCACAAAGATGAAAAAAAATCATTAATTGTGCCCTTGAATACCCTTCAGTAATGTCTATGTCTGAATTACAAAAATAAACTCAAAAGCACGCATTAATAAATTTTTATCTTCTATTTTAAGAAAGAAATGCTTTTAATTTCTTACCTTTATTTTTCCTTCCTTCGGTAGCCATTGTAGAATTTGCATTCATTGACATCCGGGAATTTAGGAAATAACTTTAACTCAGCTGATAGTTTCGTAATTTCCTTTTCTTTTTTTTTTTTAGAAAAAAGATGTAAAAATATGGCATTTTACAAAATATAAATATACAAAACCAATTTTAATAATTAAGATTAAATTTTCTTTGGCTTTTATTTATCTATAATTTTTATACTGAATCATGCAAAAATAAATGAAGTAAAAAAAAAATAAGCACCTTATACATTCATATCAACATGGATGTTCTTTCAGCATCAAGAACCCATGATTAATATTTTAATTTCTTTAAAAGAGAATATCTTACAAGATTTCCTTGTTTTTTTTATGCTTAACGACTTGGAATACACTGAAGTTTATTAATTTTTTGTTTACAGTAAGAACTGAACAAGGATTGCAGTAAAAAAACAAAACAAATTAGAATGGTAGTCGTTTCCAAAGGTAAGAAAAGAAAGACTAAAAAAAAATGATAATGGTGATCTTTCTTATATTCTTTTTTTTTTCTTTGTTTCTTTTTATGGTCTTTAAAATCGTTATTTTTTTTTTCCTTAGTATATTCCTACAATATGCGAATTTTGTTTATTTGAAAGAACCCGTAACCGCTTATGACATATTTAAAAAATTATCTTTTTTTTATCGAATAATTTGGAAGTCACCGATTTTAAAAATGATTTATTCATCACTTCACTATTTTTTTATTTATGCAAAATTAACGAGTCCGAATTTCTTTTTTTTCTCCTTCATTTTAACATTTTTTTTGTGTGTAATTATTAAACGAGTCCAACTTTATTTTTATTTTGAAATCCTTCCATTTATTGTTACCTTTTTAAAAACTTTTTTTATTATTTAAAAAGAAAAAAAAAGTTTAGTACATCCCCTCTGATTGTTAGAGACTTAAAAACTCCAGATTTTCTGCTAGAAATAAATAAAAAGTATTAAAGGAAATATATCTTTTCATCCGGGTTAGAATCAGTTTTTTCTTATTGGATAAAATTTGTCCTAATCGATATATAACATTGCTCTTCTTTCTTCAGTGTTAACAACGCTTCATTTGATCAAAGGTGTAGCCATTTCATTGGGGAAAAAAACAAAAAGAGAAGATTGCTATCACATGGGTTTCGCTCATATATATATATAAATAAATGTGTGTGTATACAAAATAATGGTGTAGTATGTACTGTAATAATTGTAAAATATACCGACAGACTCGTCGTATGGATCTCCGAGTAGTACAAAATGTCACAAATCAAATTGTTTCGTTTTGTTAATTTTTAGAACTAAACGTTTTTTACTTATGTTCATTTATTTGAGTTCGAGAGCGAACACCTAAGATTTGAACTTAGGACAACTCAGGGTGGGTTTTTTTGGTCTTAGCGAGTTGATTTGGTTGACTGAGTTCGATACTTAGTGAATGCCCGAAACTTATGACTTTAAGGCTTTAAGCTTAACTTGAATTTTATATTTACAAAACTTTAAGATTAGTACAAAAAAAAAGAAAAGGTAAATTTTTACCATCACACCCGTCTCTTTTTTTTTTTTTTTTTTAATTTATAGTACTTAAAGAATAGTCGGGGATGAGACAGACAGGTGTAACAGTAAAAAAAAAAATATACCTAGTTAAAATAAAAACTAATAAACCACGGTAATCACGAAAATAAAAGATCACAAACATTTACTTGCTAGAGAGCCTAATCCCTGATTGTTTTTTTTTTAAAGTTTTTACGTATTTTTAAATCGGAAATAGTATTGTTTCTCGTAAGTATTATTTTTATAAAAATATTTGAGATTCGCAGTTTTTCTATTAAGAGAATCCGTTCTCTTTTACTGACTCCCCTTTATGAGTTATTTACTAGGGAACATTCGAGAGGGAGCTAAAAAGTTCCTACGAAAAAGCTTGTGCAATAGTGCCAAGTGGACATTTGTGGTTTTCTAACGCCACCTTCCCAATGATTTTAAGGTCAATAGCGCAACTGTAATGTTATTATTTATTTGTACTTAAAAGGAAAATTAAAGCAAAATTTTCTCATTTTAATTTAAAAAAAAAAAAAAAAGGCATTTTAACGTCAAGAAATCCTGGTCTGCAAGTGAAGAAGAGCCAAAACTCTTAAAAAGAGCTTAAATTTTGCATTTCAGTTTTTTTAAACCAATTTTTAAACTTGTTTTTGAAAGATTTTCTGTAAAAATGATTCAGCATCTCCAAAAATAAATCCTGATTTTCTGCTAAGGAGAGTAATAACTGATATTTGGTGTCCAACATATGGTGCCAAAAGCAGGTAATGATCAATTTTTAACGCCTGATGAAATGAACTTAGTATATTTTTATGTGATAAGGGGCCCCCAAATCTACTTGTTATAGGTCATTTTTGAAAGAGTTTTTTTTATAAAAAAAAAACACAAAAAAACCCTATTACCTTATAACATTCATTTCAACAAGATTCCAGGGAATTTCCTAGAAGAAAAAAAAAAAGAGAAACAGCAACTTTTCTAAGATTCTGCTGAGAAAAATTGTCTTGTGCAACACTGTGAATTGATTATATAAAAATAAATGATTTTAAACCTGAACAAGTTTTGATTAACTCCTACTTTCAGACTAGATATAGTACATATAACTTGGGAAATGTTCCAAAAGTGCCAAGTATCCACTAGTGAAGCTTTTCCAAAAAGATTTTATGTTGGACCAGAAATTTGGAAAATTTTCAACTCTCCTCTTGTATATAGAAAAAAAAAATGTAATTTTTCTATATTTTCCAAAAGGATTAAGTCAAGTTATCAGTCACCCCGTTTTTTTTTTTTGTTTTTTTTTCCTTTTTTAAAAAAGAGCACATTCAATCTAAAAATTAAATGATTCTTGAACCAGAAAGCACACTTTTTTCTTTCTTCCAGATGGTCAAGAGGTAAAAAAATTGTTTCGAGCCATTGAAAAAGCCATAAAACTGTTAAAAACTTATAAATCACTTTTAGTGATTCAGTTTAAAAAGTGTGCATTTGAAACTTTATAAGGTTTTTGAAATTAGAAAACTCTGCATATGAAAACAGGAAAATTATACTTGATTTCGGTTTTTGCATGCTACCCCTGACATACTACCCATCAAAAATTATGGAATTATATCTGCATGCATTGTCTTGGAACAAAGTGTCAACCACTAGGCCTGAGGTCAAAATACAGTATCAATGCCTCCTGATGAGTGTTTTCATCTATGGAAGGAATCACAGTAAATGTTCTGGGAATTCCAATCATAGTGTAGCACCTCCCTCCATTATACTCAGATTTACTTATGTATTCAGATTTTGTAGCCTTCTGTTACACTGGCAGACAAACTAGTAATTTTTTTTATGTTCCTACGTCTTACTCTTGTGGTGGTGGTGTTAAATACTGGATCAAAGTATAGTATCGGCATTCTGTGAAAAAGCATCACATGCAACATTTGCATTGCATTTTATATACACGTGTGGAGTTGGGTATTTTATTGAAAATTTTATTTTATCTCCCTTATGACTCATCCCAGATATTGCACTCACTGTAACATCATATCATCAAAGAATCCAGCTGCATTTAGAATGAACATGCATAAGAAAATCTTTGACAGATATGTAAACACCCACCCAGGAGGGAAAGTTTCATACATCCTTGCAATAATATAGAGGCCATGTCTGAAGAAGGCTTCCAAGCCATACACCCACTGGCTAATGGTGATTGACAAAATCCAGAGTTGAACAAAATGTAATGTTACATATGTGGGATTCAGTCTCATGATTTCATTTGTAATGTAAAACTGCACTAAAGTTCATTTCAATATAAATTTTTAATATTGCCTTTTCAAAGCTATTAATTATGACTTAAGATATATTTTTGATATCATATTGTTATCAAAAAGTAATCACCTTATAAAATATAAAATCTATTAATGAAGCTTAAAGTCTGCATTTATTAGACCACCTATGAACCTGCTGGGTTCCATTTTAAAACAGTTAATGATACAAAATGATGAGATAATAATATTATCAAGTGTATTATTAATTACGCATATTTTAATTTGTATTTGTCATACAAGTTATTGCAATGATTATTATTATTACTCACATTATATAATATTACTTGGATACAATGCAAAAAATAAATTAATTATATTTTTTGTTATACATACTTTTTCTAATTCACATTTCAAAATACATAATGGCAGCAAACCAGCATACATCTGTTTAACGTCAAGCTGTGTAACACAATTTTCCAGCTATACAGATTGTTTTACAATGACAAGCACACCTAGCATCTTCACATATTGAGTACTTGCCAGACACCTGATATATTGTTTATTAAAAAAAAGAAGTTCTAAAGTAGTCTAGTGAAGTATATGTGTTATGAATATTTAATAATGTTGTTATAATGTATTATGCATGTTTTATAGTTTTTCATGCACATAGAAGTTGAAATATAATATGCAAGTGTTTATATTTGTGGATTGATATAAGAATGTGTATCAAAAACAAATGCTGAATTTCTTATTAAAAATGCTGTAAACACAGAAAAACAACACTAGTTGAAAACCCCTTGTATAATTTTAATCAAATTTGAAAGTGCAGGGAATCAAGGTACAATATGCTCCTAAATTGGCTGGAGTATTATGTATCATTTAAGAATCTGTAACTTTGGAACATACATACATATGTATCTATATAATACTAAAACTGTGTGTGTGTGTGTGTGTGTGTGTGTGTGTGTGTATATATATATATATATATATATATATATATATAGTTTTAGTATTATATAGATTTTTTTTTTATATCAACCAACATCCCCATCTATAGGTTAAATAGTAGAGTAGATTGGGCTGTCTAGCCTTGGGTGGCAACCAGTTTTAAAGGAGAAAAATTCAGAATTCCAGACTGGAGAAGGCTACCAAAAACCACTCCACTATATTTCGCAACAATACATGGCAATTAACAGTTAATAAGAAAAGGAATTGTCTACATCCTGAAGGAACATAGCATTAAAAATAAATTAATTGTAAACCTGCTTGTATTATTTTCCTACCTGTGCCTTTTGGGAAAGACATGAACCCAAATCTCCCTGCCCTTTGCTCTATCAATTATCTTAGACTAAATAAAAATGGAAATGCATTTCAGTGAGTACATAAAGAATTCTCTCCCATAATTACCATATCTTCCTTGATTATGACTGCAAAATGTCTTCCATATTTATGGTTTAAATAGCAAGAAAGAATACTAAGCTCTCTCACATTTAATGGTAACCAACCTAAGAGAAGTAAAGTTGAATTCCAAAACTGTGGAGAAGGCAAGGGCACCACTCCACTATCTTTCACAAACTTCATGGCAATTCACAGCTAATAGAGGGTTGGGGGAAAGGAACATGTGGAAAGTCATGATCACCCGTGCTGAAGGGACATGCTAATTAGCCATTTCCATACAAGGATACATTT